AATGCCAGGAAAGGCACAAAACTGCAGGAGCGGGGCATCGGCTCGGTTAACTCGAGCGGTGCAATGCAATCACGTCAGCCCCAGCCGCCGGCTCCCTCTGGGAGGTGCCTGCGCGTTAGGGAGAAAGAGCCATTCGGGAAAAAAGAATAGATGCGATATAAAAAAGCTGCCGGGCAGGGGAAGGGATAGTCTGTGCTGCAAACTCGCGGGCCGGGATGAGCGCGGAGGAAAGCCTGCCAGGAGCGAGGTCCTCCTGCTCCGCGCCGAGTGTTCGGTGTGCGGGCTCTGCGTGGGCCCTCGGCTGACAGCTGGGAGCATTTTGGCAGCGGTGCTTGTTGTGGAAACACCGGCGAATCCGGGACCGTGCCTCCGAGGAGCGAGTGTTTCCTGTGAAAGTGAGCCCCCGGCAAGCCTGGGAAGAGGCTCACGCCTGCAAATCCCTTGTCCGAGGGGCTCCCGAGTGCCTGCGAGGGCAACGCTGCTTTGCACAGAGCTGCTTGGCTGGGCTACATTTGTGCCAAATTATGCTGCTCGTAGGAATGGTTCGGCTGGTGCCGCTTTGCAAACTTTGTCCCCAGAAGTAGGGTTTGGGATTGCTGCGTGCTGGGTGAAGACACGGATGTCAGCTGTAAACCTGGAAATGAAACAGTCTTTTACCTCTGTATTTCCTTAGTGTTAACCAGCAGCCTGTATTTCGCTGCACAGCGCACGCGGGAGAGGCGCAGGCTCAGCTTAGCTCCCGGTGGTTGGTGCTTCCCTGGCCAGCTCCAGGGTGTTCGGCTCGCCGCCCCGCTTCGCTGCATGCACGGATGTGGTTAGTAAACAGCAGTGCTTAAATGCCGAAAGAATGATTCACGTCCCCAAACTGAGGACACATTCAGTATGTTTTAATGAGTCCAGGTGAGCAAGCGCTGCCTTAATGTTTGCACAAAACCCCGGGGGGGGAGTGGGGGATCAGCTTGTTTCTGCAGGGGCTGAAAGAAGAAATAAATGAGGACGTGTTTTGGCACTAGATCAGACAAAGAGGGTGAAGACGCTGTTTCGCGAGCGGGGCGCGGTGGCGTTCGGTCCGAAAGGGGGACCGCTGGCGCCGGCAGGGATTTTCCGCGGCGGCGGCATCTCTCGCCCGGCACCGCGGCGGTGCTGGCTAGTGGTGGTGCTGTTGTGCAGCGCATCCGCTGCCGGAGACCCCGGCAGCCCAAGCCGGTAACGCTTGCTTTGCCACTGGAAGAGCCAAATAAATAAAGGAAATCAGAACCGCTTTTACCATTAAAAGAGAAATGAGCCCTCACAGGGCGAAGCCCGCAGTTGGCAGCCCTGGCCCAGCCAATCTGTTTTCATTGTTTCGCAGGACTCCTCTCTCACCGAACGATGACGAGTACCAGGAATTAGAGGTGTAATTACTCCATATTAGCTGAATTCACAGTATAGACACAGACCATAAACGGCCACTGATTATTCCTAACTTTACATTTTTGGTATTCTGAATTGCTGCAATTATATGTGTCCTAGGAAAGGAGCTCCTCTTTCACCTCCTCGGACCCTCAGTCACTGCCCTTTGAGATACTTTTTTGCTGTTGAAAGATGACATTTCATGCAAATCCCTCCTCACCGCTACCCACAAAATCGTAACCCCCAGCCCAAGCCCTGCTGTTTTTGCTGCCTGTAAATGCAGCTAGATGCCTGCTAGTATGTGCAACCGCTAGACCGCAACTTCGTGGCAGCCGGGTTAGCTGCAGAGGCGACCGGAGGCCCCAGGCTCTCGGTGCTGGTGTCGCCGGTCTGTCTTCTTCAAAACATGGACTCATGCTAGGACGCGATTTCCAAACGCTAATTTGCACCTCCAGCGAAATCATGCCGGGACTTTTTTTTTCTCCAGCCTGCTAGTGCCTGCGCCTTCCCCGGGCATGAACAGCGAGGGGGGATTGATAGACGAGCGCTTCGGTATTTTCTTGTCGCAGAGCACAAACAGTATTAAAAAATGAATGTAGATATAAATTATAAATGTTTGCACAGGAAATTTCTAACCCTGTTAGTATCCTATCATTAAATCTGTGTCTTAGGCACAGGCAGGGTTTTCATTAGAAAGCATAGCGCAGCTCTGCAACGCTGATTTGGTCAATTAATGATGAGGGGAGGGGGAAATAAAAAAAAAATCCAGTCATTCACCCACGGCAGAGCCTTGGGTGCTTTCCGTTTCGCTTTGCCTCTAGGAAACACTGAGGGATGGTGGGTGTCCGCCCCGGCCGAGCTGTTCTCGCAGAAGGGGTGCCGGGGCACACGGGGAGAGGAGGAGGAGGAGAGGAAGGGCTCCGGCGCGGTCTCCTGAGTTATTGCAGACCCCGTGGTCTGACCCACGCAGCAGCTCTGGTGTTTTTATCAGTTCTGACGTGATTTGCCCCGGCCCAGGCTGTGAGCTGCAAAGGGAAGCGGCCCCGAGGAGCCTCCGGCCTGAAGCGCGTCCCACCGCCGGCCGGCGTCGGGCAGGGTGTTAGTTATTCCAGGCAGCGGTTGTGGCCGCGGAGCAGCAGCAGCAGCAGCAGTTTTTTATTGCGCCTGTCCCTAGGACCCCGAAGAAGGATTATGCACACTTCCACCCTGCCAGCTTTTATTAGATCGGAGGCAGGGGTTAAGCTGATCCCTGTCAGCACAAATATAACAGCGAGGGTGATGGGAACGGCATAAATCGAGCTACAAGAGGTGACCGCTCTTACCGCTGCTCTCGAGATGTCCCCGGTGTTTTACTGCAGCCTGCACCTCCCAGTTGGGACGTTTCCCTTTGGCCAGGGAAGGTCTTGCTCTTTTATGATACGGCCCGGGGCGGGAGGGGTGGTTATTAGACACGGCAGAGGGGAGGCAGGTGACGGGAGATGCTATTTCGGGCAGAAGCGCGGGGCGGCGAGGCTGAGCATGGGGCTTGCCGTGGGGTCGTCTGCGCGCTCGAGTTAAGTCGGACAGGGAGTTTCTCTTGTGCAACAAGCTTGCGTGCCGGATGCAGCAGAGCCCGTGTGCTGCAGGGTCTGCCTTTTCTCTCGGGGAGCATCACGGAGCCTTGCGGCTTCCGGATGCTGTCGAACCTCCCTTGCCACAGCCGTACAAATGGCACAGGTGCTTTTATCTAGCCGTCACCTGCATTTTTTTGCAAATAAGCCACACGTTAGGAAGTGGCAGAAGTCCTAGGCACTTTTACACTGGGATGAGTTTTTTTGTGACTGGTTCTGCTGTTTCTGCATCGCTGAAAAGCAATATTTGAGCGAGCGCACGGTGACCCTGTGCAGTGGGCTGGCCAGATTTGCTTATCAGTTATGGCAGAGAAGGACAACGGGAATGCATCG